ACATGCAATTGGGCGATACTTTTGAGATCCAGTTCTTGCTACTGGAGTGATACTGGCCGTTCTGCAAATGTCCGGGATCACACCTGTAATGAGGCATTTGTTAAAGAGGTCTGTTAAAGGCAGTATGAGAGAAGCAGCACACTCCTTCAAAGCTAATGGTGAGAGAGCATCCGGACCACAAGCTTTGGTTGCCTTTAATCTTTTGAGTTCCTTGTGGATGTTGCTTTGATCGAAGGGCGTGTTTGGACTTGAGCTAATGAAGGAGGGCAAGGAAGATGACCTTAGTGAGGTGGAACTACACTCCGAATTCAGTTTATCCACATCCACTTCATCTCTCTGGCTGCAAACGCTTTTACCACAGAGCTGTCTCAGAAGCCCCAATAGATCGCGACAGTTATGTTTGCCTAGAACTGCTTTGACGTATAGTTGGTTTAGTCTTTTTATCTAGGATTTGATTGCCGTGGTTAGGCTTTTGATACGGGTAACGGTTTAGTAGTGATGATGAAAATCTATCTGCTCTTAGATCGTTTCAACAGGGCAACACATGTCAAAGCAATATTTGATGTAGTCCGTAACCTGGTCACATTCGAGCAACAGGTCCTTGTCATTGAAGACCGAAAAATCAGTTAAAGAAAACATCGTCTGGAGCCTCGTGATATTTTCCAGGGAGCAATTTCGCCGTTTGATAAGGACGTCTGGTCAGCGTTAAAATATTACACCTGCTGTATATGACTGGACACAGTATTAAACTATAATGGTCTTACCTACTCAAAGGAGCCCGCTATGAATTTGCGAACAACTGTTGTTTATTTGTGAACACAGCGTCCAGCTGGGCATCTTGTCTGGTCGAAACAGTCACTAGGTCTACCAAGCCAAGTGTCTTCAAGAATCTGGTATCCTTTCTATTGAAGTCGCCAGCAACAATACAGATGGAACAATCTAATTTAAGCAGTAACGTTGAAGAAAGCTGATCATCACAAAGTTTTAACTCCGATGCAGATGTGTGAGGAGCAATGTATACGTTTCCAACGATGACTGATCGAAGGCCATTTAGGAACTTCGGTTTGCACTCAGCTAAATGGCACCTTATAGTAATTGTTGAGTACCTAAATATTATGATTGCTGCGTTGCACTAACGTTGATTAACGTAAGTCTTAACGCAACCACCACGAATCTGTGGCTTCCCGGGGCGGTCAGACATGATGGGAAAATAACCATCGGGTTGAATTACCCCATTTTCCACATCAGCATGCAACTACCTTTCTTGTAACCGATTGCTTCCTGTATTGACATACTCATTTCGCTACATGATGGCATTAAGGTCACTGATTTTACCAAAGAGCGATCGAACATTACTGGAAATTTTCAGGGGCACTATCGCTTTGTCGACAGAACAAAGACTGAGGCCAGATTGCCAGCCAGCACAATGCTTGCGCATTTTTTCCAAGACGTTCGTTATACGTTTGCAAGTGTTCCTTACTTTATGGCCGTATTCGATAAGGCACAGATTTAAGGCAGGAACACGTAACGCTTTCCAATTGTTGACGGTGTAATATACAAGCTTGGGAGAACTCCAGAGATTGGAACTGGAGATTTATTAAGCAACACGTAGCAAACTACAATAGAGGAAATAATGTTATAAAAAAGGAAGATAAACGTTACAGTCAATCTTCTTCTGCTTGCACTTCTTCCGTTAAAGCACACGACCAGGTTCCTGCAACGCAAATGAAAGCGTAGCGTAAACACCAGTTCAAAGTCAAGCAGCGCGCCACGACAGTTTCCGTGCAACACTACACTACACCCTCCCTCCTTCGAGCGCCGTCCCCGGTGCTACCGCGTAGCCCCCCTCAGCCGGTACTTCAAGTTCACGAGCGACCACTGGTGGTGAATCTGCCCTCTCTGACTCAATTGACTCAGCTTCTCGTCTACAGGGTTTGAGGCGATTGAAATGGACAACTATAGGTTGACTATTAGGGTTGTTACGATCCTTTATCATGCAGGTGGCCTCAGAGAGCACTCGTTCTACCGTATATGGACCCGTCCACTCTCTGTGAAACTTTGCCGGCACTCCTGATGCTTGAGGTTGGTGTAACCAAACTAAATCACCAACTTTCAGGGGTACGCCAAATACCTTCTTGTCGTAATATTCCTTCTGACGCCGGTGTGCATTCCCTAAATGCACTCGTGCTGACTGATGAGACTGCCAAAGGGAGTCTAACAACTTGCTAACATATTCCATAACCGATGACTGTAGCTGTTGCGTCATCGGTAGACGTAGATCCGAAGGTAATCGTGCCTCTCTTCCTGTCCACATAAGGAATGGTGTCTGTCCCGTCGATGAATGTACTGTGCTCCTGTATGCAAGTAGGCATTTGGGCAACACATTGTCCCACTCATTGATATTCCTGTCCGCGAAGGCCTTCAGCAACGATTTAAGAGAACGATTTGTTCTTTCCACTTGCCCATTTCCTTGAGGATGATACGCTGTGGTTCGAGTTTTGTCTATCCCAAGTAACCGACAAACTGCAATTACCAGTGAGCTCTCAAAGCACGATCCTTTATCCGAGTGTAGCTGCCCTGGTGCACCCCAGTGGCAGACCCAATGATTTACCAAAGCTGTTGCCACAGTGGACGTATCCGCCTGTCTTGTCGGTATAGCCTCGCACCATTTAGTAAAGTAATCGATCATGACCAAAATAAAGCGATTACCTCTTGGCGTCTCAGGTAAAGGGCCTATGAGATCCACTCCTACTATCTCGTTAGGATAGCCGGCCACCACGGGCTGCAAGGGTGCACGATGAACGATACGAGGGTTTTTAAAGGCACCACATTCTTCGCACGCTTGACAGTAGTTGATCACATCTCTCCGTTGATGGGGCCACCAGAAACGTCGTCGAACCGCTTCGTCCATTTTATTGATCCCTGCATGTCCCATTTCCTTGTGTAAATCGCTCAGTACTTCCCTAACCATAGAATGCGGGACGATGATTCTTCTCGTGTACGTCGGTCCGAAATTGAAAACTAAAACTCCTTCTTCGGTGGTCAGGTAATCCCACATGGACCAAAGGCAACGAGCTTCGTAACTTTTCCCTTCCATCTCTTTACTCGTTGGTTTATCGCCGCCATTAAGACGCCTCTCGTAGATCAGTGCGGTATCGGGATCGTTCGCCTGTGCCGTTTTCCACCGACCATACTCTGCTCCTTGAAGATTGACGATTGCTACGTGTTGCGTATTACAAGAAGGGCACTCTCCATGGTTACGAGGGGGAATTCGTGACAATGCATCAGCATTAGCGTGTTGCTTACCGGGGCGATGTCTGCACTCAAAGTCATATTCCTGCAATTGCTCTTGCCAACGCGCGATTTGGCCTTCGGGGTCTTTAAAATTCTGCAGCCACCGAAGTGACTGGTGGTCTGTGCGGACCAGAAACTTTCGACCTAATAGATAATGTCGGTTTTGTTTGATGAAATATACCAATGCCAACATCTCCTTCCTAGTCGTGCAGTAATTTCGCTCCCTCGGGCTGAGACTGAGACTACAATATGCCACGACTCGTTCGACACCATCCGATCCCAGTTGTGATAACACCGCTCCAATCGCCTTATCACTCGCATCAGTGTCCAAGATAGACTGGCCAGCAGACGGGGACAAATCGGGAAATATTAGCAAAGAGGCCGTACAGAGAGATTCACGTAGGTGATTGAAAGCTTCTGCGCACTGCTTCGAACATTCGACCCTTCTCTAGCAATGAGTGTAATGGGGCTGCAATGGATGAGAAGTTTCGAATAAATCGCCGATAATATGATGCTAACCCGAGAAAACTACGTAACTCCTCCGTAGTGGTTGGCGTTGGCCACGACCTGACCTGTTCAGCCTTTACCGGGTCCGTTCGAATACCATCTCCAGATATTATGTGCCCTAAGTACGCCACTTCCCTTTTCAAGAGATGACACTTTGAGGGCTTAAGCTTTAATCCCACCCTCAACAAGCATTCCAAAACACTAGCCAAATTGTCCAAGTGTTCATCTTCCGTCTTTCCATGTACGATGACATCATCCAAATACACGAGGCATTTACGCGGGATCAGGTCAGCTAATGCTTTTTGCATAAGGCGTTGGAAGGTAGCTGGAGCGTTAGATAAGTCAAATGGCATGGTCTGAAACTCGTACAACCCAGAGGGCACGACAAAGGCGGTTTTCGCTCGATCGCTCTCTTCTACTTCCACCTGCCAGTACCCGGAAACCAGGTCAAGTGTGCTAAAATACACAGATCCGCCAAGTGCGTTGAACAGAGCGTCGATCCTTGGGAGTGGGTAGGCGTCCTTTCGAGTAGCCTCGTTCAATCTTCGGTAATCGACGCATAATCGGAAGCCACCGTCCTTTTTCTTTACAAGGACAACAGGAGATGCCCACGGGGAGTTGGAGGGTTGGATAACGTTCTTCTCTAACATCTCATCTATCAGCTTCTGTATCTCACCCTGCCAGTGGAATGGAATACGTCTCGGAGGCACTTTAATCGGTCTAGCCACACCAGTGTCAATAGCATGTTTCACGAGGCCGGTCCGGCTTCCTGTGAAGAATCAGCCTGCCGAAAACCGATAGACGGTCCAAGAACTTCAGGTATGTTTAACACCAGGGGTGCAGCTCTGTTAGTTTTACTCACGGACACAGGACGCTGATGTATTCGCAGTTCCAGAAGCAGAGTGAAGTTCGTCGGCATCAAGTTACCGTTAGTGTCCAACGGTTCAACGTACGCTGTTGTCTGAGCTCCCAGCTCAATGTGATTTGCCACTTGAAGACGTAAGGCATGGAGACCAATCACATCAACAGCAACATCGATCTCCAGCGGCCGATATGAGGCAGTGGCGACGGTCGGGTCAGATTGCAGAGCTGGAAAGCACACATCAGTGACTCGGAAGCATGACCGCCCCACGCGCCTGGAACGGATGATGTAGTCACGTGGGGACTGAACAAGCGCCGAACCGGAAGTGGCGGGTGTGATGTCAATGAGGCCTCCGGTACTGCATCTCCCTCGTCAGTTGATTATGTCTCCTGGAGCACAGTATCAATTGCAGCCCCGGAGCAGCATTCTTGCCAGCAGTCAGGTCCAATATCGCCTCGGTGGCCTCGTCACTTGGCACGGTGTACAGACACGATCTGTATCCAAAGAACTCGTCCGCCCAGTCACCGTTACATCTACTGGTTTAATCCACTCCCTTCCTTCATCTGATTCAAGCGCAACCGAGCGTCGATACTCAATCGAGATTTTATCCTCACCTACTGAGTATGCAGTCGATATCAACAGTTCCTCGATGATGCAGTCTTCCGTGATTCAGCTCTTATCTATAGAAGTGATAGTCAAACGTCCACGATTTCTTCTAGTGACTCCTTTTTCAGATGACTACATTCGAGCATCCGGATTGCCTGTTGGTGGACCCTATCTCATGGGTGTCAGTTATCATGATGAACTTGGGAGGCCATTCGATGCAGTGGCTGATGATTATCTACGTCTGAAGTTCCACCTCCATCGAACGGATTTTGTTGAAGTTCAACCGATCTATACTTTCGGCTCAAGTGATCTGATACATTCCAATCTCGGGCGGCAGCATCATAGCTCACTTTTGTATTTCATGGTTCTCCCTCTCACTTCTCGCTTTGGGTCTTCCAGTGGTATCCGGCCCCATGCGTTGCTGCGTCTGCTTCCTCTGGAACACCCTACTGATTTTGCACCAACCTATCTGAGTGTCATTCACGGAGGTGAGCTGGACATTTTGCCGTCATCTCTTCTCACGGTGGCGCAGTGGATACGTCTTCCGAGTTCCGAGGGCGTTTGGTCGAGCAGCAATCCCGATGTACTCTGGGTGGATAACAATGAGCGCCTTGCACTGGCTCGGCATGATGGACCAGTCCATTTGACATACTCATTGGGTGGGGGCATCGTGGCAAACGAAAGCAACGACGTATCCGACATTAATAGTCGGCCAACCTACACGCTAAGTATGACAATTATCCCTTTGACTCCCATCTGCTCTGATGGCAGATCTACTGAGCTGGTTTATGTTACTTTGGATGAGAAAGGTGCAAGCACTGCGGTGCATGGGTCTATCATACTACCTGTCGTGTCTTCGGTCTCCGGGGATTGTTCAACGCCTACCACTCTGCAGTTTAATGTGAAGTTTTGTGCGCCCCACAGGTTCGCACCGGATGTTAATCGCAATAGTGACCAGTTCTCAACCCTGTCGGAACGTGCGAAACAGATCCTCTCTTCCGCGGCCCCTCTTCAATGTGCGATTCGCTTAATCACTACGAGCCCACAACAGAATTTGCCACGCACTCTCGTATCGTCCCAAATTGGTTAAGTGTACTGTTGCTTTGGAACCAAACTGCTTCACTGGAATCTGAAGAGCGCGCCACGACGGTTTCCGTGCAACACTACAACGGAGCAGGACAACATTGCCCTTGAGACCTGATCCGAACAAACAAATTGCTTCAAAGTTAAAAATAAAATAAAATATCCGCAGTCGGTGGTGTAAAATAATCCAACGTGAACAGCAACGGCCGAATCTGAAGCTCCTGCCACGAGTTGAAGATAGGGAAATCCACTTTTCACTTTGCGGAGGCTATTCACGTGCTTCTACCTAAGCTTAGGGTTTGCATTTATTGTGTGAACCATTCGGTGTCTTAAACAGAGCACTCGACATTTAGCCACATTGGAGAAAAGGCGATTTTTGACTGACCATCCATAAATCTTGTCAGGGTCGATTTGAAGCTGGATACGGTCTTCTGGGGCTCTGATCACTGGCCAAACTGATGTCCTCGGCGTAAACAGTTTGACGCAATTTGACTCACTAGATCGTTTATGAAGATTAAGAATAGACTTGGCCCTAATACCGAACCCTGTGGCACTCCGCATTTGACTTGAATTCGGCCTGACATGGATTCACGTACTCTCACCTCCAGTCGCCTGTGCGAGAGAAAATTGCAAATCCACCCGAAGAGAGGGTCGCCAATGCCACATCCTTGGAGTTTGACGAGAAGGATACGCTGATCCAGTCGGTCGAATGCCTTAGGGAAATCAAAGTAAGCCACATCAACTCCTGCACCAGCCTCCACAGTTTCGTTCCAGCTGTCTCCTGTTAACAATAGATGGGTTGTACACGACTGATTCTGGCGGCAGCCGTGTTGCTGCTGAGCAATCTAGCGAAAGCCGTCTAGATAAGGCATGAGTGCCTCGACAATGATTGTCTCCACAACGTTTTAAAGAATTGGCAGTAGGGTCACTGTAAATGGGAGTTCTTATTCCGTGTTTTCACATCTCAGGAACGTACTTGTTGGGCGGAACCTGGGATACTGGTCGGTAAGCAATGACACGTAAGACGTGTCAAATACGACAGTATAGAAGTCGGAGGCAACTGAACCCAACGTATATTGTACAGGCTACAAAAATAGGAAGCGAATCAGAGAGAGCGAGGAACGTGCAGCGTGGAACTCACCAAAACGGTTTGTGACAACGGATGTGCAGTCAGTTAAACAAATGGACGTTTCGAAGGTTAAAACAACCATAAAATCCAATGTTATAAGATACTGAAAGAGCATGTTTTCAGTTGCACTACAAGGGCCTCCCCCTAGAAGGCTGAAGGATGGAAGCCTTCGATGGAGCTGTTAGTGGGGGGAACGGAAGGTGAGGGTGGATGCGAATGTTTGCAGGGGCTTGAGAATGGCTTCCAAAGTGGGGTGTAGCAGATTTCGCTGGGTCCAGGCTTTTGTTAGTTTTATTTATGACGATCGTGTGGACCAGAGTGCATCATCGGTGGGCCGTCGGGGCGGGCTGGTCGGACTGCAAAAAAAACTGGCTAGTCCAGAAAAAGGCCGACAGGACCTTCCCATTGCTGCAGACCCGACGGTGCGCTTGGGAGGTGTCACTCCCCCCACCGCACTTTAGTCCACGGTCCTCGTCCCACGAAGAAATCCAGGCGTGCTCGTCCCACGAAGGAATGCGGGGCGTCCTCGTCCCACGAAGAAATCCGGCGTCCTCGTCGGCAATGCCTAGGCGGCGTTTAGGGACCAATCCTTCGCGGGTGTCTGCGATCGAGGGCGGGGAATGGGGTGAGGATGGGGGCTGTGGGACGGCTGGCGAGTCACTCCAGGGTTGTGTTGAGCCGGTTGGCGAGTCACTCGAGGGTTGCCTGGGCAGTTCCGGCGGTTGAGTTTCTGGAAGATAGAACTCAGAGGGGGGTTGGCAAGGGTCTGGGAAGTGGCTTGACGCCGGAGAGGGGACATGGCATGTATGATAAAAGCAAATACGCTTTTTAGGTTTTTCAAAATGTTTTGGGTTTTTTTATCGATTTTGCAAAACGTTTGTGGGTGAGACGCAGGATAACCATTAAAGACGAAAAAGGCGTGTTAATGGAAATAGCAAACGCTTACAAAATCAGAAAAACGGACCGGACGTTTGACCTGTCTACCGCGTCGGTCGGTTGCCTGGGGTTGCGGCGGGATAGGTTGCGGGTCAAGGGGTACGGAGGGATCCGGGTTATCCAGTGCTCGGGAAGTCACCACAGGTGCGGGTGCTTGTGAGAGAGCATCAGGATGAGCTGCAAGTGGCTCGTCAAAGAAAGCCACTTTGAGGCGGTCGATGGACACCGTTGTTCGGTGACCATTCTGGTCTATAGTAAAATGTTTCGGAGTCCGTTGTAGAACTCTGAAAGGGCCAGTGTAGGGAGGCTGGAGAGGGCGCCGCACTGCGTCGGTGCGGAGGAAGACGTGAGTGCAGGTAGAGAGTCCGCTGTGCATTTGAACATCTCTAGTCTGCTCACGGGGCGGGGTCGGGCGTAGTGAACGCATGCGCTGGCATTGAAGGCAGGCGCGAGCCCAGGTACGAACATCTTTGTTTACGCGTGGCCAAACGAAACGTTCGGTGACCAGTTTCAAAGATGCACGGATACCGGGATGTGACAGCGAGTGCAGTGCGTTGAAGACTGTGCGTCTGAAGGAGACGGGCACGAGAGGTCTAGGACAACCTGTGGACGTGTCACAGAGGATGGTTCCTTCCGTGGTTTGGAGAGGAACAGGTTGCACATGCAGCGAAGTGGACTGCAGAGTGCGCTGTATGTCTTCGTCTTGAGTCTGAGCCGATGCCATGGCGGCAAGGTCCACGGTAGGCAAAGACTGCAGAGTGAGGTTGACGCGTGAGAGAGCGTCGGCGACGGGATTGTTGACACCTGAGACATGACGTATGTCAGCAGTGAACTGCGTGACAAAGTCTAGGTGTCTTGTTTCCCGTGGTGAGTATTTGTCGCTAGCAGAGTTGAAGGCAAATATAAGGGGCTTGTGGTCAGTGTAGACCGTGAAAGCGCGGCCTTCAAGTGTGTGACGGAAGTGACGAATGGCTAGGTAAATGGCGAGCAGTTCTCTGCCAAACGTGCTGTAGCGGGATTCCGCTGGCTGCAGGCGCTTGGAGAAAAACCCAAGGGGTTGCCATTGCCCACCAACGTGTTGTTGGAGGACGGCTCCTACCGCGACGTCTGAGGCATCAGTCGTAATAGAAAGAGGTGCAGTCGATTCGGAATGAGCGAGGAGGGCTATGTTGGAGATAGCATTCTTGAGCTCGACGAAGGCTGCCTGTGCTGTTTCAGGGAAAGCGAACTTGCGTTCATTTCCTCTAAGTAAGTCAGTCAGTGGCTGCATGAGCTGAGCGCAGCGCGGAATGAAGCGTCGATAGTAGTTGACCAAACCACAAAATCGACGGAGGTGCTTGAAGGAAGTCGGAGCTGGGAAGTCCTTGATTGCCTGGATCTTATCAGGAAGGACTTCGATACCAGATGATGAAACG